GACGCTGAGGGTTCTGGGTCTGCTGTTGCGCGGTCTCCTTGGAGTAGCCGCCTTCGTCCGCGTGTGCCTCTCACCTCACAGCAGCTGCACGACTGGTACGGTCGCCGTCAGGGTCGTGCTTCTGGAGCTCGGGGCTTTGCCGCTGGAGGTACTTCTGCTGACGTCGCTGGAGCTGGGAGTGGTGCTGGTCCCGGAGGTGCTCGTACTGGAGGTACTGGAGCTGCTCGGGTTAGAGGTGCTGAGCCTGAGGGTGCTACTGCTGGAGACCCTGGGTCTGGGGGTGCTTCTGCTGGTGGAGCTGGTCCTGGAGGAGCTGGCGCTGAGGGTTCTGGAGCTGCTGGAGGTGCTGGAGCTGCTGGGGGTGCTGGAGCTGCTGGTGCTGGTGGCACTGCACAGCCGCGCCTGTTCTTTGCTCCAGCGTCTCCGTCGTCTCAGCCACCGTCTGCCTCTGTGCTTCGCCAGGTTCTTAGTCTCCCTTCGTCTACTATTCTTCCGTTACAGCCTGGCTCACATCTGCCTGCTCCTTCTCCTTACACTGAGCAGACGGGGGGTCTTACTGAGCGTCGTGAGCCTGCGTCGCGTCCTGTCTCGCCTGTCCGTCCTGGTCGTTCCGGTAGTCGTGTTCCTCGTTCGCGTCAGCCGGCTGTCACCGGCACCCACCTCGTAGTCCGCCGTCCTTCCTCTCCTCCGCACCCACCTCGTCAGCCGGCTGTCACCGGCACCCACCTCGCGTCAGCCGGCTGTCACCGGCACCCTCCTCGCGTCTTCTCTGCCTACCGTTCCTGAGCCTGAGTGGAGACCCGGAGACCCGGATGCTCCAAACATCCCGACCCCGCGCTCTTACGCTGAGGCGATCGCGGGTGAGTACTCCTCTCAGTGGCAGACAGCCGTGGACGCAGAGATGGCATCCTGGAAGTCCACAGGCACCTACGTCGACGAGGTTCCCCCTCCTGGGGCGAACATCGTCAGTGGCATGTGGATTTTCAGGGTGAAGCGGCCGCCAGGTTCTCCGCCTGTCTTCAAGGCTCGTTACGTTGCTTGAGGCTTCAGTCAGCGGGAGGGAGTCGACTTCTTCCAGACCTTCTCCCCCACCCCGAAGATGACCACTCTTCGGGTGTTGCTGCACGTTGCCGCTCAGCGTGACTACGAGCTTCACTCTCTTGACTTCAGCACAACCTTCTTACAGGGCAGCCTGCACGAGGAGATCTGGCTGCGCCGCCCACCTGACTTCACTGGGTCGTTCCCTCCTGGTACCCAGTGGAGCCTCCGGCGGCCAGTCTAGGGTCTCCGCCAGGCGCCGCGTGAGTGGCACGACACACTGAGGACGACACTTGCGGCTCTTGGGTTTGCTCCGTCGACTGCTGACCCGTCGCTGTTTCTGCGCACCGACACTTCGCTGCCGCCGTTCCACATCCTCGTCTACATCGGCGACTTGGTCTTTGCCACTACTGACATTGAGGCTCTTGCTCTGGTGAAGTCGGAGCTGCAGAAGAGACACACGTGCACAGACCTGGGTGAGCTGCGCAGCTACCTTGGCTTGCAGATCACTCGGGACAGAGCACGCCGCACCATCACACTGACTCAGTCACACATGGTGCAGCAGTTCCTTCAGCGCTTCAACTTCACCTGGTCCTCGGCACAGGCCACTCCTCTGGCAACAGGTCACTCGCTCTCAGCTCCACTTTTGGACGAGTCCGTAGAGCCGAGTGGTCCTTACCCAGAGCTAGTGGGCTGCCTCATGTACCTGATGACCTGCACTCGTCCTGACCTTGCGTACCCTCTTGGCCTTCTGGCTCGCTACGTGGCTCCTGGTCGGCACCAAAAGGTGGACATGGATGCTGCTAGGAGGGTTCTACGCTACTTGTGCAGTACATCGGGCATGGGGCTCGTGCTTGGAGGACGGAGCGACGTTGTCCTCATTGGGCACTGACGCTTCTTGGGTTGACGACCAGGCTACTCAGCGGTCGTCACAGGGTTACACCTTCAGCCTTGGCTCTGGTTCAGTTTCTTGGCGTTCTACACGCTCGTCTTCAGTTCTCAGCTCCAGTTGTGAGGCTGAGATCTACGCCACAGCCATGGCTGCACAGGAGTTACGCTGGCTTACCTACCTGCTGACCGATCTGGGAGAGCGGCCTCGTTCTCCTCCAGTGCTGTACGTCGATAACAAGGCCGCCATTGCCTTGTGTCACGAGCACAGACTAGAGCACAGAACGAAGCACATCGCTCTGCGTTACTTCCTGGCTCGAGAGTTGCAGCAGCGTGGTCAGCTTCGTCTTGCTCACATGGCCACTCGGGCCAACACTGCTGATATATTCACCAAGGCACTTCCATCTGGTGATCATCAGCGTTTTTGCACTTTGTTAGGCCTTGTGCCCACTTTTCCTCACTTGCTGTAGACTTTGCTTGTACTGTGATCTATATATATACACCTGCATGCTTGTTCTGCTAGGTAGAGATCACTGTACTTCTGTTGTTGCATATATTCCTCTGCATGTGAACTGGCCTTGTGGCCCTTTGCTTGTGCTCAGTATGTGTGGTGACGTTGTGATCCACCCTGAGCTTGCTTTGCTTCTCTTGACTGGTCTTGTGACCCCTTGCTCTCCCCCACTTTGCCTATGGGGGTGTGTCAAAGTATATGTATGCTATATATGTTTAGGCTGTAGTGGGGTAGCCAATATGGGGTACAGCCCCTTTTAGGGTTTCATACTTGTACCCAACCCTTTCATAGTTCATTCATTCCTGCTAGATTCTAACATGGCGTGCCGTCGACTAAGCGTGCATCTATCGCAGGTAAACAATGGCTAAGTGTCAGTTGCAGTTTTCGTGCGGTTGCGGTATTAACTAAACTGTGACTTGCTCCTCCGTCGATAAAAATCTTCACTGCTGCTCCCTGTATTTTCCCGTGGATCAGTACTGGGCAATCCGTCGTTGTACCCTCCTTATTCGTCCGAGCCCGATCGATAGCATGAATCGGTACTGTGACTCGGTGAGGGTCGGTGGGGTTGGGCGAGCAGGCAGTCTCGTCAGTAGTTGGTCCGATTCCTACTGACTGCTGGCGTTTCCCTGCCTTGGAGACTCCCTCCCCTGCTCTGCTCCGCGGCGCCTCAGCTCCTCTGTGCATTCATTCTTGCGATGGCTTGGCCTATTGCAAGCAAAGCAGCGCCCCTTAAACGGCGCGGCAGCTGCATTCGTCGCAACGGCATGTACGGTCCCCGAGGACGATGTCCGTAGTAGGACCCCGGTCTCGGACGGCGCAAAATGTCGATTTTCTCGGCGAGCGCGAGAATCTCGTTGAAGTTCGAGAGCCCGCGTAGCATGATCTCGTGCGAAATGTTTGGCTTCAGCCCTCCGACGTAACGGTCCACCCGCTCCGCCTCGTGCATGTAGCCGACTTGCTCGCATAGTGCGAGAAAACCGCTCGTGTAGTCTTGAACCGACCCGAGCTGCCGCCAAGTACGCAGTCTCTGACGCACCGAAATAGAAGCCGCGATCGGCTCGAAGCGCGCCCGAAGCCCTGCGCACCACGCATCCCACGTGCTGTACTGGGCGGTTTCGCAAAATGAACTCCAGGTGACGGCTGGACCCGTGGGCCCTTCCTCTTGCGACGGTGGCTCGTAGGCGCGTGGCGACGTCACGATGACTCGCCACCAGTCCATGGCGGGGCCCCTCAGCAGCGAGACGGCATATCGGATCTCCGCTGCGTCCGACTCGACGTAATTCGCGTCGAAGAAGACGTTCATCGTGAAGACCCACGATTGAAACGTCGGACCTCCACGCTGGCTCGGGTCGAAGCTGGGCGGGCGTTGCGGCTTGAGTGGCATTGGTGCCATAATGGCCTGTTCGCCACTTGTCGCCGCGAACTCCACGTGCCGACGGGCTTCACGAGGCTCCCGCGGGCTTGATTCGACCCTGTTTCCCCCCATGCCAGGCATCGGTTGGGCGGCGCCATCACTGGCTGCACCTGAGCGCTGTCCCACGCTGTCGTGTTGTGTTGGTGTGCCGGACGAAATGACGATCGGCTCGTCCGATTGTGCAGATGCATTTGTCGGTGCGTCTGGTGGCGCTGGAGTATTCACCGTGGATTGCTGACGCGCGGAGTCACGTTCCGCCGTGAGCGTCGCAATTTCGAGCGCCGATTCTTCAACTTGGCGCACCAGACGGTCAAGTTGCTCCTGCGTCAACGTCGCGAGCGTGAATTCGGCCATGGCGGGGGTGTCGGGCAAGCTCAGCGAGAGCCTCTGTCGTGGCCGTGCGTGCTTACGAGAGAGCACTACGAGCGGCGGTGCTGTGTCGCTGAGAGACGTCTACCCCCCCCAAAAATTGAGATAGTGAGGAAGCGAAGGTGTGGGTGCGGTCCGAGAAGAGATCGTAGGCTCTGAATACAAAGTGTTACGAGTGCAATCGAGTGATCGAGCGAGAATTGCACTATCGAAGCAAGAGTACAATGAGCGAAGGCATGAGCGAAGAATATATAGCGAAACTACAGTGGTAACGGTAATGGACTGTGGTTGTCGTGCAACGGGCCTGGGACTGAGGTTGGGGGAAAGTGTCGAAGCGGAGGCCCGGAGTGTGGGTTACTCGCCGAGCCGTGAGGTCGGGGTGCGACGTGCGAAGGTGGCGGGAGGATTGTCGATGCGAGGGTTGCGAATGGTAACGGTGCTGACTGTGGTGCTACAGTGGTGTACGCGCTGAGCGGGGACGCGAAGTAAGGAAAAGGAATTTTCCTTACAGAATTGCACATTGAAGTACACTAAGAAATAAAACATATTATCCATAGCCTATTGGTGCAAAATTATGGTCATTTAAAATAATAAACATGAGAACAAATGGTCAGCGAACATCAGAAAGTGTAGCTAGGTCAGCGAATGGTCAGTGTATTGAAGCAAAGCACTGGAGGACCCAGTGCAAGCCCCTCGTTGAAATGCTGAAACCCACACCACCCACACACACACCCTCTCCCACACACATGCCGGGTTGGTAACGCTTCTGGAATCATCAGGCTATTCCTCATCCTCCTCACTGTAGCTGCCACTCCACCTGCCCTGCCATGCTCCATCTCCCCCACCAGCCCATCTCTGCTGCCCCTGGCCATCCACAGGCACAGTTACTGCCCGAGCAACGGCAACGTCATCATCCTCGACATACCACTCACCTGACCCGTTCTCATCTTCACCCCTCCACCCCTCCTTGGCCTCACAGTACAGATCAGCACTCCCCTCGTCGCCATCACGATACAGCTCCGGCCCTTCTTGTTCCTCCTGTGCATACTCCCCGGTCTCCTCCCCATCCTGCCTCTGCTCTCCACTCCCTGCCTGCACAGGTGCCTGCACAGGTGCCTGAACGGGTGCCTGCGCCATGTAGCACCAGTCTGAACCGCTTCGGTTTCTGTTGCTGCCTGTTCTTTGGCCATGCCCATCCTGACCCTCGTTCATGCCACCACTGCCCCCATGCATGGCCTCACCCCTGCCATTTCTTTTCCCACTCCCCACTCTCCCACCTCCAACTTCCGTCACCTCCCACTCCCCCACTTCTGACACCACCTCCCACTCACTCCCCTCCTCCTCCTCCGCCCCCTGTGGCCCACCCTCTTCACCAAACGGTCCATACCCCCATGAACCCCCTTCCGCTCCCTGCTGCTCACTCATGCTACCTCTCCTGCCTGCTGCGCCGCCCAACCCCTGTCCCTGCATCTGCATACTCCCCCACCCTGTCTCGTATGACTGGGCTCGCCTCAGCGGCCTCTGCTCCCGGGCAGGCCCGCTGTATGTTGCTGCCTCTCGCAGCCCGCCACCATCCCTGTCCGCTACACGCCCACCGCCACTGCCTCTCGCCTGCTGCATTGCCTGAGGCTGCTGCCAGCGTGGGGACGGCTGGATCTGCTGCTGTGGTGGTAGTGGAAAGTGCGGGGGAATGGGTGTGGTAGAGGCGAGTGCAGGGGGGCGAGTGTGGAATGGCTGTGGCGCATGGGGATCATTCATGCTGCTCGGTGCGCTGTGGCCCATGCCTGCTGCTGCCACCCTTGCTCCTGCCACTGCTGGTCCTGCTGTTGCGTACTCCCCTATTCCTGCTGCTGTTGTTGCTGTTACTGCTACAGGAAGAGCGGTCTGCAGCTGATAGGGCTGCTCCAAGGGGGTAGCGGAGAATGGGGGAAGGACAGGGCATGGTAAAGACAGGGCACTTGAAAGCATCACGGGGGGCGCTTGGCCCGGAGTCAGTGCGTGGGCCTGCATTTGTGCCTGCACCTGTGCTTGTGCCTGTGCCTGCACTTGCGCGTTCAGCTGCATCTGCTGCTGTATCTGCGCCTGCAGCTGCGACAGCGTCTGCTGCTGCAACTGCAACTGCTGCAGGGCATGTGACGACAGGTGCAGCGTCTGCTGGTGCATCAGCTGCGCCGGGAACTGAAGCATGGGCGCCTGCTGCACCAGCATTGCCTGCTGTTCGCCCTGATGCAACTGTGGCAGCACCTGCATCATTGCCACTGTCTGCTGCTGCTGCTGCTGCTGCTGCTGCGGCAGTGCCTGGCGCTGCATCTCCCTCTGCCCTGCACCGCCTTTGCTCCGGATACTGTTCACAGACCTCACCTCCCATTCCTCCCCCTCATCCTCCTCCACCTCATACTCCTCCCCCCTTTCTTCCCCCTCCTCCCCCTCACCCCCTCTCGCCTCACTCCTTAGCTTCTCCATGATTCGCATTGCCTGTGCCATCTTCTGCTCCTCCTTCTCATCCCTCCGCCTCTCCCTCTCCTCCGCCCCCCTCTGCTGCTTCCGCGACCCCGCGCTTCCCCCCCCAGTGCCCGCAGCCCCCGTCCCTCCGCCCGCTCGCGCGGAGCGGGGCGTCGCGGCAGCAAGCGACACATCACGCGCTGCAGGCGCAGCCGAGGCGGAAGACCAACCGGGGGGCGATCGCGGGGACAACGCGTTGCTGGGCGCACCCGCCCCCCCACCTTTAGGCGCGCACGGGGACTGGGGAACGGCGGGAGGCGCGCCTCTTCCAGGCAACTCCTTGAACGAGCGGGAGCGCGGGGAAGCGCACCCGCGCGCGGGGCTAGGTCCTTGGCGGTCAGTGAAAGAGCGCGAGGCGTGCGGGTTGTTCACCGCCCATGGTGGACTCACGTCTTGCCGCGCCCGTGGGGTCGGGAGGCCTTTGGCGGCGGAACGGGGGGTGGGGGCTACGGGCACGGCGCGGCTCCTGCCTTCCCCCGCGCCTCTAGGAGCGCTCGCCGCCAATGCTCGGCGCGACACGGTGAGCGGTCCGGAGAGCGTCTTGGCCTTATTCAGCTGCGGATCTGATACCATTCTCCCGCTGCGGCTCCTCTCCTCGCCCGCCTGCCACTCCGCGCCGCTGTCTCGACCCCGCCGCCCCTCCGCTCCCCACTCTTCCCTCCTCGTCACCGCTGATCGTTGCGCGAACGAGCTCTCCCCCTGCGCGCTCTTGCCGCCCTTCCCCCCGCTTCTGCTGCTACTGCCGCCCGCGGTCCACGTAATGTTGCGCTCGAGGCTAGGCTCGTCGCGATCGTCGCCCGCGTTAAACGAGAACGACCCAGGAACCTCGCTAGGCGCTCTCTCTCCTCCTCCTCCCCGCCCTCCCCTCCCTCCCGCTCCTCCGTTTCCTCTCACCGATGCAGGACCGTCCCTCGTTCCTCGCTCCTTACCAGCCGTCCCACCCGATTCGCCATCCATCCTGCCCTCCGCGGTTCTCTTTCCCCCGGTGGCCGACCGCGCGCCGGAGAAAGCGGGGTACTCTTCCCGGTCCGGAATGGTCACCACCATGTGCTCGAACCGCCGCCCCTTGCGCCGCTCCCCCACTACCGCCCGCGGGGCCCCCTTGTTACCCTGCCGCGATGATCCGGGCTGCGCGGATTTGGCTTGCGGGCCCGGCGGTTGTTCTGTTGTTCCGCGCGGTCCTCCCTCCGCGCGCCCGTCGGCCTCCGTCCCCTGCGATTCGAATCCGCTACCCGTCGCTTCCGCGCACTCGTCGTAGCTCTCGTGTGTCGCCCGATCGCCCGCCCCCTTCCCCGCCCAACCCGCCAGCTCCCCCAACAAATCTCTCCTCCCGCCCGCCCTTTCCCCGCATCCTTGGCTTTCCCAACTTCGACCCCCCTCGCCAGCCACTGCGCCCGAAACACTCGCTGTCTCCCCCTCCTCCGGCCCCGCCGCTGCGTTCCTCCGCCTTCCGCCTTTCCCCGATTCGGCCTCCGCCGCAACCTCCGCATGCCTATCAGCGCTCTGGTCATCCACGCGCAACGGCGCGAACGACACACGCAGGCGGGGCGTGCGAGCACTCGCGGAGCCGCCGGTGGGGGTGGAGCTAATGAAGGCCGTGGCGGGCGGCGGCGATACCGGACCGTTGCCCAGCGACGGCGATAACGGCGCACCATCGCCCGCACTGCCGCCGCTTGCGGGCTTACTACTAGGGATCGCGGGAATGACGGCGGCGCACGTGACAGTGTCGACGGAACTGCTGCCGCCGGTGCTGCTGCGATGAATAATGGCGGTCGGGTACGGCGACTCGAGGTCGCGATCATTATCGAGATTATTCCATGGCTCTGCTTCGTCTATGTCAGCAGGACGCGACGGGAAGTCGTCGTTATCCTGTAGCGACTGTTCGACATCCAAGGATAGGCCTCCGTTGCTGCCGAAGCTAATGGTGTGACCCCTTCTAGCCACGCTGCAGCTGCCGAATAATCCATCTGCTAGGCGTGCCATGCTGTAGCCATTCTCGCCGCGAATGCCGCTGCTGCTTATTCCGTGCGCGGGCTCGTTGAGACTCTCCCTCGGCGTGGTAGGGACGATGCACCAAGTATCCGGACACTGCTCGGTCGCGTGCGAAGCTTGGGTGTCTGATGCTTCTATCGAGGCGGCTTCTGGCGGATCTGCGGTGAATCTGGTGTGCAGTATCGACGCTGGAGAGGTGGAGCTGCGGGCTACTCTTGGCTCGGCAGGAAATGATTTGTCCGTGGAGCGCGGCGACTTGGCTGTGCTCCCCGCGTTGGTGCGGGAGGGACGCCAGAGGAGTGAGAGCTTGGTCATAAAGGGAGCCATCTTGATAAAGGTGGCGTTTTGGGAGACGGAAGTGCGACGTTGACACGAGATAACCTGCTGGGTGATGGAGGGAGCACTACAGGTTTACGGCATCGGGAAGATCGGAGATAGGCTGAAAACTGGGGTCAGGGTAATGCAGGACTCTCGCATTGTCGTCCAGGATTTCGCAAAGAAGTCGAAAGCTTTCGCACTAATCCAGGATTTAGTGCGAGGCTACTATTTCAGCGCAAGAATTGTGGCATAAATTTGTGGCTACTAATAGTAACGAACGAGCACACCTCCCCTCCCCCAACCCCCCAACTCCCCCACCCGACCCATCCCGTTGGCTGAGGAGATCACTCTCCCAACGAGTACAGTTCTCTGTACAGGAACTGTAGCCATTGTCGTGTCAAGGATCGATGGTCCCAAGTCCAATATTGATTCTCCACCATCTCAAGGTACCGTACTGTATCCAACCGCAGCCTCTCATACGACGTACAGTACCGTCTCCAACCCCGTTGAAACGACCCTGAGGGCCAAGCAACCTGATTCTGTGCCGCGTCAACCATTTCTTGTGTGGCACTGGTAAAGACCATCGTAAACGACAAAGGCAGTATGAGACGATGGAAAGGGTGGTCTTTTCATTTTGTAATTTCCGTTACCGCATCCGTGGGTGAATCAGTACCAGCGACAGAACCAAACGAACAAACGCGGGTGGCGGTCCTAATCTGTACAAACCACAACCCAATCCAACCTAGCACAAAGTGCGTGCACCCCTCCGAAATTTTCAGGGTTAGGAGAAACGACCACTTCTTCCGTGTCGTTCAGTGACCCCAGTGTACGCGTGGGACGCGTGAGGCTTAGGGCGTGTCCGAAGTGAAACGTCGATGGATGTCGGCGGATGTCGGCGAATCCTGACGGTCGGAATCCCCGATCCGAGGGCTGATATTCATCGACATCCCCAAACGGATGTCAGCGGATGTCGACGTTTCACTTCGGACACCCCCTTACAACTTGGGTGGGATTCGCACGAGACGCTCTTTTCAATCCAACCAGGCTACTGTAGTTCATTCCACCAACGTCAATTTCAGTATAGATAGGCTTCTCTAAGAGACATGGCTGTCACAAAAAAACGTGTTTCTTTGCTGTACAACTAACAAATCACTGTTATATGATTGCATCCGGTTTGGGCATTCATTTGTGGGTACTAAATGGACTTTGCATCATGGTAGTTAAGGTAGAAAACAAATTAGAGCCTATATGAGGCGGAAAAGGAGGATCAGCACGAAAAGACATCAAGAAACAGAGCCAGACACAATGGAGCATGTCACTAAGAAATTCATCTGAATCTCCCTATCTGTTGAGCCAAATGATTACCATAGTTCGCGCATAAAATGCGAGGTTCTTGTGCATATGCAACAACTATATATTTGGTATCGAACGAGCATAAAACAGTTGGAGTCTGGCGAAATTACAAAATACATGAAGTGCCAAGTCCGCCATACTCCTTGACCCATCATCCTTTCTCCGCAGATACCATGCCACACCATGGCATTGCCATTTCACACACAAGAGGGGCAGCTGTAGGGTGTGAAGGCGCTCACCACCACCACCACTCTCACCACTCCCACCACACTTCCCACTCGTGAGCAAAAAACCAATCATCCAGAACACACAACACATCCAGAACACATAACACATCCAAAACACACAACACATCCAAAACACACAACACATTCAGAACACACAATGCATTCAGAACACACAACATATTGCCCCCACCATTGCCCCTCACTCAACTCACCCTGGGGTTTCAACTCCCCATTGTCCTCGCTCTCTCAATTCACTTACCCTGGGGAATTCAGGCCCCCACTCTGCCCACCCACTCAAACACCCATTCACTCAACCACAGACCCACCCAACCATCCCAACCCAAACACCCACCACCCACCCCCTCAAAACACCCAGCCAGAAACTCACACCCACCCATCCACCCATCCCCAACAATCCAGCACCCATACAACCCACACACCCAATCCCCAACCATACACCTACCCACCAACCCAGAACCATCCATCCAAGCCACAAACCCAACCCCCAACCATGCACCAACTCACCTACCCAAAATCACCCAAACACCCACGCACAAATACCCACCCACCCACAGAATCCCAGCCACCCTCAGCCACACAGCCAACCCCAACCCGCAACACCTATCCACACACCCAACAACCTACCCCCACCAACCCATACTCATCTTACCTCACCTCTCGCCCCCTTTCCCCTCACTCAACCACCCTAGGGGACTCGGCCCCTTTCCCCTCACTCACCCACCCGAGGGTACTCAGCCCCTTTCCCCTCACTCACCCACCCCAGGTGATGCTGCCCCCATGGCAGTGAACTCCCCGCTTGCTCCAATGCTCCCCACCAACCCACCCCACACTTCACCCCCATGCCCTTACCTGTACCTGCCACAGCCGTGCAGAGCGCCATGATGCTGAGGCTGCTGGAAGTGCAGAGAGACGGAGGGATTAGGGGAGGGAGAGACTCCTCTGTGGTCCAGGCCGGGTACTGGTGGGAGGGAAGGGAGAAAGGAGAGAGGACGAGGTGAGTGAGAGCTGGGAGAACAGGAGCTCAAGCCATGGGTTGCTTACAGGTGCTGAGGCGGCGTTAGCAGCTAGCCCTCCTGCTGCTCCAGTGCACCCAGCCGACTTCCTCTTGGTCCTGCTGTGGATCTCCTGAGCCTCCTCTAACGCTGCCTTGAAATCTTGGAGATTTTTCTGAGCTCATGAGAGGGGTAAGAATACACGGACCAAGGGTACGAGTGCGTGAGTGACCACACGTGAGTGCAGCAAGTGTTGCGAGTGCGCAGTTTCGTCTCTCAAAGGAAGCGTAAGACGCCTGAAGCGACTTTTACTTTGAAGTCTCCGCCCCTCGTCGGTCACATGAACCGCGTCCGTCCATACGCGCATGGTGTGCATCTTAAGCATCGTATCAGTCTCTCAGGAGATTGCGTCAGATCGCGTCGGATCGCGTCAGATCGTGCCAGATCGTGTCAGATTGCATCAGAACTCTCGTACCTTGCGGCATCGCGTCTGTTGGCTGAACTTGGCGGTGTTGGCGTTGGTCCACATGAATATGGCGCTCGGACTCACCCACGCCGTCATCTCACACTGCCACGCCGCAGAGCAAGTGGAGCGAGACAGTAAAGAGAGAGGGGGAGATAAATAGAAAGAACAAACATTAACAGCATCGCTCGTCATGTGCACACGCTAGTACACTGAAAACATGCGCTTAACAGTTCTTCCTGCACTGTACGCGTTTCTGCTGGACTAATAAGTGTGTTCCGCGGAATATTCAAAGCATGAATCGCACGGTTGATCCGTACATTCTGACCCTCTCGCCAAAACTAGTTCTTAGGATCGCCATGAAGAAACATCGCACCGCGATTGCTACTTGCCTCCAACGAGCAAAGCGTTCACGGCAATTCAGGAAGCCACGATTCGCAGCATACCTCGCCTCCGAGGAGTCTGGCAACGGTTCCCCATCAGGTTCCCCATCAGGTTCCCCATCAGCTTCCGCATCAGGTTCCCCATCAGGTTCCCCATCAGGTTCCCCACCAGGTTCCCCATCAGGTTTCCCATCAGGTTCCCCATCAGCTTCCGCATCAGGTTCCCCATCAGGTTCCCCATCAGGTTCCCCATCAGCTTCCCCATCAGCTTCCGCATCAGCTTCCCCATCAGCTTCCCCATCAGCTTCCCCATCAGGTTCCCCATCAGGTTCCCCATCAGGTCCCCCATCAGGTTCGCCATCAGGTTCCCCATCAGGTTCCCCATCAGGTTCCGCATCAGGTTCCGCATCAGGTTCTGCATCAGGTTCCCCATCAGGTTCCCCATCAGGTTCGCCATCAGGTTCGCCATCAGGTTCCCCATTAGGTTCCCCATCATGTTCCCCATCAGGTTCCCCATCAGCTTCCGCATCAGGTTCCCCATCAGGTTCCCCATCAGGTTCCCCATCAGGTTCCCCATCAGGTCCCCCATCAGGTTCGCCATCAGGTTCGCCAACAGGTTCGACATCAGGTTCGCCATCAGGTTTCCCATCAGGTTCCCAATCAGGTTCCCCATCAGGTTCCCCATCAGCTTCCGCATCAGGTTCCCCATCAGGTTCCCCATCAGGTTCCCCATCAGCTTCCCCATCAGCTTCCGCATCAGGTTCCCCATCAGGTTCCCCATCAGGTTCCCCATCAGGTTCCCCATCAGGTTCCGCATAAGGTTCCCCATTAGGTTCCCCATCAGGTCCCCCATCAGGTTCGCCATCAGGTTCCCCATCGGGTTCCCCATCAGGTTCGCCATCAGGTTCCCCATCAGGTTCCCCATCAGGTTCCGCATCAGGTTCCGCATCAGGTTCCGCATCAGGTTCCCCATCAGGTTCCCCATCAGGTTCCCCATCAGGTTCCCCATCAGGTTCCCCATCAGGTTCGCCATCAGCTTCCCCATCAGCTTCCCCATCAGCTTCCCCATCAGCTTCCCCATCAGCTTCCCCATCAGGTCCCCCATAAGGTTCGCCATCAGGTTCGCCATCAGGTTCGCCATCAGGTTCGCCATCAGGTTCCCCATCAGGTTCCCCATCAGGTTCCCCATCAGGTTCCCCATCAGGTTCCCCATCAGGTTCCCCATCAGGTTCCCAGGTTCGCCATCAGGTTCCCCATCAGGTTCCCCATCAGGTTCCCCATCAGGTTCCCCATCAGCTTCCGCATCAGCTTCCCCATCAGCTTCCCCATCAGGTTCCCCATCAGGTTCCCCATCAGCTTCCGCATCAGGTTCCCCACCAGGTTCCCCATCAGGTTTCCCATCAGGTTTCCCATCAGGTTCCCCATCAGGTTCCCCATCAGGTTCCCCATTTGGTTCCCCATCAGGTTCCCCATCAGGTTCCCCATCAGGTTCGCCATCAGTTTCGCCATCAAGTTCCCCATCAGGTTCCCCATCAGGTTCCCCATCAGGTTCCCCATCAGCTTCCCCATC